CACACCTGGAATTGTGGAGCCAGGTGGTACAGTTGCCTTTCTCTAACATTTATGGAGGCGCAAAAGGAGACACTCACCACAGTCGTACATGCGGTTGAGCCTGGTGATGTCGACAGCACTGAAGTCCAGCCGTTGGCCAATGACCTCATTAAAATATGGTATGGTGGTGGTGATTGTAGGTATGCTCTCGTTCTTGTTGAAAGACAGTGGTCTGTAGTGCATGATGGACTCATAATCATACGCCGTGTTCATATCAGTGATGAAGTCATCCTCATACTTGTTGAAATTGTGCTCCTTCCCTTTGAGGAGAGAACAACAACTCCTTATAAGTACTACCATACAGGATATGTATATATAGAAGCTATAAAACCTCCAGTGTGTAGGATTTAGTGGCAACAAGCTGTGAAGTTGCAGATTGCAACTTTGAACATGAATGAGAGCTTGAATGAGAACGGGCTGCGAAGTGTGTTGGAGAAAGTGCAGTAAAAAGTCGAGAAAAAAAAAACACTGAAGGACTACAGCCAGTGTTTGGTTTGTCCTTTCTGGGGTACTGTAGAAATGTGGTGGTTCAACATTGTCTGTGCAGAAAAGCGTCTCATTCTGACGTAACGAAAACACAACAATTCCTATATTCAGGTGATTACACACTAATGAAATAAAACCTATCCATATTATATTCTATTTCTGCCAATAGATCCTCCTAAATATTATACACTGGAACTTTAAAGTGCAAAAAAAAAAAATGTAAATATCAAGTATGACATCTTGATAGAAACCCTTAACACTATCCCTAATCCTAACCTAATTCAATGAATATGAAATTGGTACGGTGAATATATGAAAATATATATTGTAAAAATCTCACAGTTTTTTAGATGGGGTTGAGATAAAGAAATTGTGACCCACCTTCTTCAATCTGGTCCCACCAGATTTTGACATAGTCATCTCTATCTGAGCGAGACTGTTCGTGGTAAAAGCCCAGAGCGTGGAGGAGCTCATGTTGCACAATTGCCTTAGTGTCACACCCGGCACCAATGGACACATTCTGGCCTACTTTATCGTCTCCAACATATGACCAGCATCTGAATTGAGGGAAAATTCAAATAAAATCACAATCTTCTGACTATTACTGAGCTTTAAAAAGCATTTCATCACATCAGCATTTCCTAATCTTTGGTTCTTAATGCCTTAAGTTCGATGACTTGATAGCATGGCCCATAATGTTGTGCAATAGAGATCATTCCTGAAACAGTGTGGCATACTGCAGCTCACCCAGACAGCTTGGTGAAGGAGATGTAGCTGGTCTCTCCCTCGTAGGGCTTGAAGTCTACACAGGATCTCAAACGGTATTCCTCAAAAGCCTGGAGGATCACACCTTTAGCATTCAGTTCTAGAATAATGGAAATGAATTTCCAAATCAGTACACATTTTACTTTTTCATGAAATTACTTGCTGGTAGAAATGGTTTCATTTGTGCATAGTGTACCTAAAGAGTCAGTCAAGATATAGGCAATGGGAAACTTCCATCTTCTTCTTTGATCAAGGATTGCATTTCTGTTGGGCTGCAAGACACATTGAAAGCATTGAGAATATACAGTACCTTATGTAAATCCCTGAAAAACATAATCTCTACCCAGACTCTCTTCTTACATTACCAGCGATGTCCCCTTCAAACAGTTGATCTAACCCTAAAAATGTGAAAAACACATGTATATATTATAGTATACACATTACTGTTTGAATATCAGTCAGTAGAACATATGATCACTGTGCACATATCAACAGTAGACAGGGCTTAAAAAGTATACCTCTGTTGATGTCAAGTATGTCATCCCTCAGTTCACCAGCATCTGCATTATCACCTGGAAGATACATATATTGTTAGAGTGGAAAAGTAAAAAACAAGCTTGCTTTATGTGAATATGATCATTAAAGTAAATAGGAACCAACCGGTACGTGTCGGAACAGCTTGCACCTAGCACAGGAAAAGAGGCACGTCTTATTTTTAAACCTACTAAGAGATTTCTTTATCTTTTCTGCGTGATTCAATTTGGAACACTTCAAAAATTCCCTACCTTCAAAATCACAAAGACTCCAATCAGGGCAGTAATCTGCCTCAAACTGTCTCCAGAGCCCATGTCGTTATCCGGACAGAAACGTGTTTCTCTGATGCCAGAGTAAACATGTCCATAAAGACAGCCGCTGAAGGGGAACTTTGATCAGGATTATGGTGTTTAATGAGTAACAAGAATTTCACATATTATATGTCCTCACTGACTCTTACATGACTGACATGTTGTCAGGTTTTCTGGCATGCACAGTTGATGACAGCAGTAAATTGTCGACTCTGTACAGAGGCAACAGAATCACAAATAGATGGATATAAGCTGATCTTAAGTCCCATAAAACAGCCAATTGTGCTGTGTTGTTTATGATGAGTTTGACCTCTGACCTCTCTGTGATTGGGGACAGTTGTCTTTTACAAAGTCATACAGACTAGTTCTTTAACGCTTGTTGCTGCCTACCAAAATCAAATCCTCTTTGTGTTAAGTGAGGAGACTGCTTGTACTGTTCATTCAGTAACATTTTATAAGGATACAAATCACATACTCTAAGATCCAATGTGTAATATTTAGGACGATCTATTGGCAGAAATGGAAGAAGATATTCGTAGGTGTATAATCACTCAAAAATAAGAATCGTTGTTTGTTTTTTTACCTTAGAATGAGCTGTTTTTATCATAGGAGAAGGTCCTACAGAGTCCACCGTATTGAACTGTCATGTTTCTACAGTAGCCCAGAAAGGACAAACCAAACACTGGCTCTAGTTAAGGCCTTTTGCAGCCACCGTAGTATCTGTTACATGCTTGGAAGGCTGAGTTGTATTCAAACAATTTCAATCTGCAACTTCACCACTAAATGCCATTATCCTACACACTGGTCCTTTAAGTAATGCTTAACTAATGTGGGACTCATTAAGATTTAAAAACTATAAAATGCAGCATGTTTAATTAATTCCTGTTCCTCAACATCAACAAGTAAGTCACAATGACTTTATGTGATTCAATTCAATTCAATTCAAGTTTATTTGTATAGCGCCAATTCATAACAGAAGTTATCTCAGGACACTTTTCAAATAGAGCAGGTCTAGACCGAACTCTTTAAAACATTATTTACAGAGACCCAACAGTACCACCATGAGCAAGACCTTGCGACCCAGAACCAGGCAGCCCAGCAGGGGGGCGCCCACCAGTGAAAGAGAGGAGAGAGAGAGAGAACAACAACAACAACAACAACACAACAGGCACACAACAACAGTATCAAGCAATCAGCAGGACCAGGCAGGAGGCCCACAAGGACGAAGAACCGCAGACAGAAAGCACAAGAACCCGGGAGGAGAGTTAAACAGCATTAAGGGCAGAAGACAGAAAGAAAAGAAGGAGTCAGGCACCGGGAAACCCGAATCAGGCCAAGCAGCAAACAAGGGATGGTCAGGACCACCGATCCAGCCCAACTATAAGCTTATCAAGAGGAATGTCTAAGCCACTCTGAGGGAGGGGTCGCCCCGAACCACAACGGGCGGTTCCACAGGAGGGAGCTGGAACGAAGGCCGGCTCCGTTCCACTTTTATCAGTTCCCATTTCACTACAGTGCTAACACACTTACCCGTGTGTAACGAAGGAAAATCATGTCAGAAGGAATATAATATTCAGGTTGTTTCAAGTGTAGATCACCGAATATAGGAATGTTGTTTCGACCTAGAAACTGTGATATCTACAGAGGAAGCAGGTTTTAACGAGTCAGCCAGTTCCCAGTACAGAGCAACAAACAAACCAGATAGGGCGTTCACATTTTTGTTCTTTGACAGTTCCACCACGTAGTTCCCACAGACTCACGTCGTTCCATCCCAGGTTGTCGAATACAGACACGGCATTCAGTTAGTTCCAATCAGATCACATTGGATTTCAGTATCATCATGAGTCATGGATTACTAAAAGCATGACATAGTATATTATATGATTTGTACCCTTATTAGTGTTATCGTTCCTTCAGTCCTCCTGTAGTCATTTATCAAAGTGATAATGCCTTCAAGGTGTGCATTAAAGTGCTTGAGTAGAGAGTGAAGATAGAAACAAAGGGCAGATCACAGGACAGGGCATTTAATTTGTCCTTCCATTACACCTCTAACTCCTGATAAGGTGCCCCTTATCTTATGATTGTACTGTTATGTATAAAATGTCAACGCAGCTGATTTAGTTGATATTAAAGGAGCACTTGAGTATTTTATTATTGCACTTATTGCAAAGTTCAGGGACATGAAACAGATTTAAAAAACAATGGTCAAAGCTGAAGCAACAAATATATCCTGACTTTTAATGCGGGTCAATCTAGCCGAACTATCAGACTGAATTTCCATTCATTCAGTCTGTCCATTGTGTTCCTGTTTACCAATTTATTGTTGTTGGGAGGGGGTTATATTATATTGTTGACATGTCCATCCCACCAAAGGTAGATGTTTTACATTGGTTCTGTTGCTATTTTACATGAATATAGCTAGATAGCTAGTTACGTAGGAAATGATGTCCCATTTCTCCTGCAATCCTGTCTACTAAACTCTGATTGGTTGACTGTTGGTGTCCAAAACAGCTGGATCCTACATTTAATGCAAAGAAATCTTTTTGTTAATCCCTCAGGTTTATTTCCTCAGAGTTGACAAATAAGACATAATACAACTGTTTTTTACAGGCTGGGTGACCAGTAAACTAATCTCAATGTGTTAAATTGACCTTTAGAGTAATAATCATATAATAAATCAACATCTTATCTAAATCATGTTGATCATTGTTGTATTACATCAACTTATTGCCTCATTTTATAACAAATGGAAAACAGACGTTAATGCTAGTTTATCAATTTAAAACTTGGAGTACTCTAATGGACACTCACATGGCAGCCGTTTTTTGCATCACAAAACAAGAGAAACATATCACAGGCTTGCTCTTTAACAGCTTAAATGAATAGCTTTTATTAACACAGTCCAACGTGAAGGAACTTTGTCCAAAATAATTGTCATCCATATACATTAGCTTTTATATACAGACTACAGACCAAATCTAGCATTTTATGTTTAGTAAATTATGTATATAATTCTAATATTGTGTCACAGCAATAATCTTCCATCCTTTCTTCATCTTCACAGGTCGTTCTTCTCGTCCCAGCTGCATCTGGTTATTTTAAATGAAGAAAAGTAATTTCACATGACTATGAGCACGTACACGTGTGGTGTCATTTTTGAAATAGAAAGGTATCTGATGTCTTACCTCCAGTTAATCATGATATAAAATCCTGTGTGACCTCACTCCTTTGGCTTAATGGGAACTTCTGTTTTGATCAGTGACGTTATATCTGTAACAAAAATCATAACTCATCACGCTTCAAAACCCCCCACTGGGAGTAGTATCGTATTTTAACACACAAATATTGAACAAAAACCACTAACCCTCAAAGTCAACGAAGATGATGAGATCATCGTTCTTGAGGTAATTACGCCGTCGGAGGTCAAAGTGCTTGACAAAGTTCCCCCAGCCCCAAGATCCACCTCTGAAGCAATTACAGGAAGGATCAAAATGTCCTACCTTGGCGGGATTGTCCCAAAAATACTTTCCATCTGATGCTAGAGGACAAAAAAAGACAGAGCCAAGATGTGAGCAGTGACTCCACTATTTGTTATCACTCCACCACTGATAATACTGAAATAACAACTATTGGGTGGATTGTCATAACAGAAACAGGGTGGTGAATTGTGATGACTTTGGTGATCCCCCGACGTAGAGATAGATATTTGTGGTTTTGGGTAAAATGTCTCTGCTAATAAAGACATTAATTTCCCTTTTAGGATAACTTGCAATAACTCTGTTGATCTTTGTTGTTTCATGTAGTGCCATCATTAGATCCAAATGTATATGTGTCTAATACCTTGGTTCATTACCAAATATAAAATTACTCTTGAACGCTAATTACACAAACATGTTAAAGTCTAGCATGCTATGTGTTAAATATAGCCTCAAGGTGTATTCAGACTAAGCTAAGTTTAGAGGCTCTTTTAGCTTTTTAGAGCAACTGCATATAAAGTCAATGGAATGACCAAAGTCGGCGCATTAGACACATTTCCCCAGGTTATCTGAGGTGAAGATGCATCAGATCAACTTGAAAATGTTTAGATAAGGAGCACTTACTCTTCCTCATATCAGTCGTGAGGCTGCGAGCGGTGGACATCCTCAGCTTAATGTCTGGGTCTTGGTCCATCACCACCAAGGTGGCCTGTCTGTTAACCGCTGGCCACTGCATCACCACATCATTGTCCCCACTGGCCAGGTGGAAATACAGCCCAGTGTAGTTCCCGGTGTAATCAGTGTAAGACGATAGAGGAACGATGCGGACACCAAAAGCGTAGCCTTCAGGGCTGTAGAAACGAGGGCTGTCAATAACTGCTTCTCGCTCAGCTGTTTCCATGATCTTGGAGAAGTTCTGGATCCTCCACACGGCGTTGGGGCAGCGTGTCTCGGTCAGGCTGATGTCATCGATGTAGATGCCACCGGCGGATGCAGAGGGATCGCCGCGTACACCTTGGAAAGCATAGCGGAATTTCACCCCTACTTCCATTGGGACATGGGCTATCTTCCATGTGTGGTCAGAATCCGCTGGGTAACAGGAAAACAAGATGATGAATATGATGTATTGATGTATTATTATACAATACAATATTATTTGTATGTTAAGGAGTGGGATAGTGAGGCTTTACTTTTATTAGCCATTAGCCTTTATGTTACAGTATTTACTGCAAAGGAAAAGTTTGACATCTTAGTTCTAGTTATCAGTTCAGCAGATTTGAAACAGAGGGGGACAGCTAGCCTAGCTCTGTCCAAATGTTTAAGAAATATGCCAACTACCATCCCTTTTTTAATCCATATACAAACAAAAATGTAAAACGTAAAAACAGAACAATTTCTTTGTGAGACCAGCGATTTCCTGGAATCACACACACTTTGGATAGAGGCAGGCCCATTTTTCCCCTTGCTTGCAGTCATCAGGCTAAACTTAGCATCTGCTGGTTGTACTATATTTAGCATAAAGACATTTGTCGTATTAATCTTCTCATCTGTCAGCCAGAAAGCAAACGAGTGTATTTCCAAAATTTTACCCTCCCAAACCTTTCACTACTGAATGTGTGTGACTGGGTAGAGAGTGTCTAGTTTGTATGTTTTATGATAAATTTGAATTTGATTTGAATATAATTTTACTGAGCAAAACAACAAACGTTCAAATGAAGCTTTGCCTCTATGCAAATCATTTACTGTGAAGCTCCAGATAGCAGCTGTCTGTTCCATAAATATCCCCACTTAATAAGTACCATAAAAGGTGTGTATTTTGTTCATTCTACGAACGGTGCCTGTGCCATCATCCATTTTGACCCAGATCACCAGTCTGTCTTTGGAGCTTCCAGTCATCTTGTAGAAGAACTGCAGACACTGAAGCTTCCTCTTGGGGTACAGGATTCGGGATTCCAGCAGCGCAGACTCCTGAGGCTTCCCAGTCATGGTACTGAAGTGCATGAAGTACCCAGCATCTAGAAAGTCAGACAAAATAAGACAAGCTATTAAAGCAACTTCTTTCTTTCACACTGTCTGAGCTGAGAATAATCAGTAATTGGTATTTTAAAAGAGACAATATTCAACTCTGACCTCTACATTTTCCCAGGAGCGTGTGATCCTCCGCCCCAACACTGCTCTTAGTATGGACCCAGTCAGCATCATCAGAGGAGGCCTGGATCATCCCGCAGATGCTGGCATACTCAAAGACACACTGGTCCAGGAGGGTGAGAGGACCAGCTGTGGAGGGAGGGACGAAGGTGAGGATTTGGAGAATCGTTTAAAACTTTTGGCCTATTTTGTGCTTTTACACACTTCCTACTTCCCAAAGACTTAATTTCTATCTAATAATATTGCACTCTGTCCACTGTCAACCTTTAAGACTTGCAGAAAAAAAGATTACTCTTGCAACATATACGTACAGCAGTTGTACATCCGGTTGAGCCTGAGGGTGTCCATCTTGCTGAAGTCGAGGTACTGGCCAATGATGTTGTAGAACTCTGGGATTTTGGTGGTGATAGTGGGGATGGATTCGTTCTTATTGAAAGAGAAGGGCCTGTAATGCATAATGGACTCGTAGTCGTACGCCGTGTTTTGATCTGTGATGTAGTCGTCGTTGTATTTGTTGAAGTTGTGTTCAAGTCCTGCAGGAAATTCATGTTCATTCAGTCATTCCTCACACAAAATGCGTACTGTAGGCATTTCTCTGTCATGGCATTACTGCCACTCATAAAATGTTTTTACAGAACACAAATGATAATAATGGACCATGAAGTTAAAAGACATACCTGGTGAAACCTGATCCAGCCAGATGTCGACATAGTCATCCCTGTCTGTGCGGGACTGCTCATGGTAAAATCCCACAGCGTGGAGTAGTTCATGTTCAATCACCGCCTTGTGGTCACAGCCTGGCCCCAAAGACAGAATCTGACCCGTCTGTTGGTCACCAACACTGGAGAAACACCTATGACAGTAAAAGCAGTCGATTACAGTTCTGATACAAAATGACACAAAAAATAAATCATACAATTACATTTAAAGGGACATTGCAGTGATTTAGTAGTTTAGTACTGCACTTCTGTAAAGACTCAGAAGAAGATTTAAAATCCACATGTAGCGAGCCATGCTGTTAACTTTAATCGTTGCTCTATGTCACTAAAAGTTGAAGACTGATTTGCAGGTGAATGTCATGTTATTATTGGTGGAAACTGAAATTGAATTTCTTTATAATAACACAAAGAAATTGAGTTTTTGTAATTTTTTTGGAATACATTTCTAAATAGGGGAACAAAAGGACTGAGTCTGTAACTTTTCAGAGATAATATAAACCTTGAATTAATAATCCATAAAACACACTGTTGCTTCAGTACAGTCAGCTGCTACAGCTTTACTCTGCTAGAACCAGCAGCTTAATGTGGCTAATGTTAGCTAATGCTAATGGTAAATATTGTTGTATATCATCAGTTTTACTACTGTTACGGTAGCTTAGCATTTTAGCTTAGCATTATCCCATGACTTTCAGCCGCTCAGCAAAAGTTACATAGTCTCACTTTTTGAAATATTTTTTTTTTTCTCTGATTGAGTTACGCACAGCGGGAGCTTGAGGACATAATTAAAACTAATTTCAGTGGACAGAGAGTCATAAGGTAATTTACAGAAATACTGTAACTCCTTCAACTAGTCATAATCTGCAGCAGCAATCAACAGCTGACTTTGCAAATGTAGTAAACACATGTAAGACAGCTCGAGCCATACCCTCCTCTCTTCTCAAACTTGATGAACGTCTTCTCTCCCTCGTAAGGCTTGAAGTCAACGCAAGACTTCAGCCGATACATTTCAAAAGCCTGGTGGACGCAGCCCTTGGCATTCAGGTCTGAGGAGTGAAAGAAATGTTTTTTTTCATCCAGGTGGTTAGAAGGTTTTTCAAAAGCTCAGATGCTTATCTCTGTGACTTGGTTGGAATCATAATACACGAGAGGCACAAACTGGGGCTAACTCTGGGCCATACATATGAGATATGTGAGGATTTACAGTCAATCTAGTGTTCAGAATGCACTGAATATTGGAAGAACTCACCCAGATCATCACCCAGAATGTAAGGGATTGGAAATTTCCATCTGTATCTTTTATCAATCAGGGCATTCCTTCCTTCCTGTACCATCAAAAGGAATTGTGCAAATTATGACCATAATCCTAAACAAAGCTAATAAAACCACACACAATAAACCCCATCTTGTTATCTGATACTGATATTACACTGTAAGTTACTCAGGAGGAGACATGACAACAATCTAGGAACAGTGAGTCAGCAAATGCACTTTTCTAAATCATTAATAAAAATGCATCTTACTGGAATCAAAATGTCCCCTTCAAACAGGTTGGCATCTGAACCTGCAAGCACAGGTACAGACAATATATTTCATTCAGCAATAAACACCCAGCATTACTCAACATTTTACACTTTATTCCAGTAAATACAGGTGTGTTGGTGTGTAGGTTATGGAGCAAAAACCAATAGAAATGTTGCAGCTCACCCAGGTTTAGGATGGGGTTCTCATCCTCACCGTTCTCATACACCTCTGAAACACAAACGCAGACACGACTCAGAGTCTTTTCACAGCGTGTAAAACCAACATTATTCAATTTAGGAAAGATCCTTTTTTTTCACATACCATGTACCTCGGGGGAAACAGGTTTCTGAATAAAACAAAACCAGTGTAAGTCATGGCACAGTTAATATCCACATCACACCGTGCTTACTCAATAATGAATTCATACTCACAGCGTAAGAAGTGGCTAGAGCCACGAGTCCAAACAATAACAGCACCCTCTCCATCATCACGCAGAGTGTCAGCAAGTAAATGTTGCTGCTTTGGTTTAAATGTGCATGTTGCCGAGATATGACCTTTAATCCTTGATGAGGTTTATGTCGCCTGTAAAGAGTAACTGAGGGACTTTGACTCAGCAGTGTTACTGATTGGTGAGCTGATTTAAGTTTGTGCATGTGCATAAGGCTGCAGTGACATGCACCTTTTTTTTTTACACTCTGTTATCTGGATTTTTATTCTATCCTGTTGTAACATCTCACAGCACCCCCGAATTCAGAAATGTCCTCCCAGCTCACCGATGGTGTGTCACGTTACAGGAACTTAAAACAAAATATGACACACTGGGCTTTTTTTATTTGGAGTTTGCAAGCTCTCCCCATGTCGGCCCTGGTGTTATCCAGATGTTTCAATTTCCCAAACAACTGCAAAAGTACACGGATGGACTGGAGACTCACACAGATTTGAAAGAGATTGCTGGATGTCGATAAAACTGGCTGATGCTCACGAGGCCGATAAATAAAACTTCAGTCTCAGTCTCTGCTGTGGAACAATGTCGGGAGTGCAGTCGGGAGTCGTGAGCTTTGGGAAGGTGGTGAAAATGTTGTTTTCAAGCCCTGTACTATAACTCCCGTGCACCCTGCTGTAAACATGTGCATGAATTTATTTTAGAACATAATTATACACTTTTCTTTGTTGTCATATCGCCATTATGTATCGGCCATCGGCAGCCCTGCTCTCTAAATATCATTATCAGCCATATCGGTCGACCACTAGTTCTGAGATGTCCTTTGTTAGGAGTCCAGTGAAGGTAAATTCAGCCACTAGGTGGACACAAATACCCAGACCAGCACTGCTCAGTGGAACTACCTCTTACTCACAAACAGTGTGCATTTTAAAGTAAAGCCTGTGCACAGATTGTCACACATGCAGCAAAGAAGAGGTAAGATAGACCTTAAGTGCAGCAACAGTTGGTTTTATGGTTGTGGATTAATAGTTGTAGAGGAAAACCTATTTTACTGAAGTTTTCACAATAAAAATCTCTTCTTAAGAATCACTAAAATGAATACCTCTCCCATCTCCCGTCTCACTCAAACAGTATATTATATTAATTGTGATATTTAAGTTTCTCCAAAGTGCACTTGCTAATGGAAATGTTTGGTTTTACTGCACACAATGAGCCCTGTCTTTGGTAATCTGGATGTCATTTTCTGAAGCTGATATGTAACACTGAAGACAGAACACACACGGACCTAAAGGGAGGGCTGAAGGAAACAAACGTGATGCTTAATGAGATTGTGCCTCTCGGCATCGTTAAAGCGTGTGTCTGCATCAATTGAACACAATCCATTAACCACCGAGTTTAACGGAGTTTGTCAAAAATAACCCATCAAGAGCGCTTGTTAGCATTCATTAACGCCAGCACTGCCGTGGCTGCAGTTACAGTGTCCGCTGACAGCGTTCAGCGTTAGCTTTTCAACAAGATACTCAGCAGCTATGAATTATAAGTTAACTTGGTTAGCGGCGTGGCAGAAAACGTAACGTTATGCTAACGCGAACATTAGCTAGCTACCTGTTGACGTCGCAAACTCGACGTTACCGTTCCTCTAATGTCACGGGGCGAATGTTTTGTGCTTGGTTATGGGTGAAAAAGAGGATAATGCAGACCACACCAAATGATAACTTTCCTTATTTTAGCTAGCTTAGTCGCAACAGTTAACGTTACCTAACGTTAGTTTGGCGTATTAGCTTACTAGCACGTTAGCTAACGCTAGCAAGCTACGTTCCTCATGTATACCATAACGTTATAACGTTATATATATTAGCTAATGTAAAATTAGCCTATCGAGGTCCATTCCGTTTAGTTAGGGTTAGGGTTGAGGTTGATATTGTTTTTAATGTCAGTGATTACGTCTAGTACTGTGGACGAGGTGGCCGAGTGGTTAAGGCGATGGACTGCTAATCCATTGTGCTCTGCACGCGTGGGTTCGAATCCCATCCTCGTCGATGTCTTTTCACTTTTTTATTATAGAACAATAATTGTTTATTATAACTGAGTAAAACACTACTTGGTTGTGTATACTTTATTTATGACTATATATATATGACTATATATATTCTATGACATATATTAATCAGACCAGCTGTTCATGCATAGATAGTGATAGTTGATTTATTTTGGCCTTTAACAAAATTGCCATCTTGCACCATGCTTTACAGCATTACCCATTCGCCGAAACATTTAAGTCTGTCTGTGTGACTTTTTTTCTTCACATAGTTTTGTTGTAACAACGCCATACTTCAAACAGCCCCCACCATGTTAGGCAAGCATTGTTGCATCATTTGTTACACAGTACACTTTACATGAGGGCGTTCACATCTAATCACACCCCTCATTGCTTTTCTTCTATCAGTATTATTCCAATACTAATAATCCCCATCGGCTTGATAGCCTCTGTTGTGACATCCTTCATTCCTGTCCACATGTTTCTGGTCACAGCTCTCCCGGGAGTCCGCAGAGCATCTCACATCTCCTGCAGCTCCATAATGACTCCCATCCAGTCCAGGAGAGAGGCGGATCGTCTCTGCCTGACCCTCCCTGAGATCATCCTTGGCTTGGCTGCTTGTTGTCTGTGAGTGAGATAAAGGAAATGCAGAGAATTGAATACAAGGCAATAACCATCCCTAAGCCTGCCAGTGTGCTATTAACAGACATCCCCTTTTCTACCCTGACAAATATTGAACTATTATTGCCATTATTGAACCAAAACTCTCTGAGATGACACTGTGTAGTTAACTTTTTGACAGTATTTTGTTGCTCTTGATTTTTTTACATTACCTTGTGGTCACGATGATATTGATCAATGGCGTACTGGTATTTGGCTGCGTTCAGTCCTAGTGCACCAGCTAGCCTCTCTCCAAGGAAATCACAAGCTAATTTTGGAAACAGCGACACAGTAACTCAGTGAGACTTTTTTCATAGCTTCAATTAGCCCTCTAACGTTCATTTAGTGTGCGTTGAGTGTATTGAATTGCCCACATTACGTACTCAGCAGTGAAATCCTCCCAACTAGAATGGCCACATTCTTGAATGACAACCTGGTCTGAGAAGGTAAAGACAAACAACAGGTAATGTGACGGCTACTTAACGACATCTCCCGTGACATTTTTCCCTTAATAAACAGTGTCCCACCCTCTCTGCAGCTTCTTTGAAGGGAGGTCTGTTTGATGGCTGCTCCTCTTCCTCCGCGCTGTCGTCCTCCTCCAGAGTTTCACCGCTGGAGAAGTGGATGACCCTCCTCTGTTTGGACACGTCAGGGCCCCCAAACTCTGCTTCCTGGATGTCTAGTGATGTCTGACAGATTGCACAGGGCTTTAGATGAACTGTATTCTCTTTCATTTGCCTGACACGCTGTATTTACGGCACATTATGTCCAGTATGTTGTCATTTTATAGGCTTTTGTATACACAGACTGCAGCAGGCTCCAGAGGGATTCACCAATGGCTGGTCACACACAGCTGTTGAAAGGTAACTTGAACACAACTTAAGCTAACATCCTTTGTCTTGCTTCATTATTACAGCACTTACTTCCTGGTGGCTGTTGTTCATTCTTCAGACACTATAAGTCGTTCTTTATGGCTCCACTGCAGCACCGTTGATTCTTTCTCATGTCACAGCTGTACCCAAATGTCCATCCACGCTGAGTCTGCTATGTGTAGAAAAAAAACAACTACAGGATACAGGATCAGTCTTGAAACCTGAGACAGCCCAAACACAGTGCAAACACTATCACAGGCAAGTAGTTCCAGTGTTGTCACTGTAGTGCAATCAGTTTCATTCTTGGCCTTGAGGGGCTGGGCTTGTTGCAGTGTGCGGAATGTCAAGGTTTATTGCCACCTTTAGCCGCTTAATCCTCAAAAGAGCTTTTCAGAGCATTTTTTTTTAACGTATACTGCACTGTACAAACTTTAAAAAGGGCAGTCAATGCATCTATATAGAATGTATCCATAGAATAAAGTGTGTTGATTACATTGAATATTAACCTGAAGTGTATTAATGAGTAGTATGCCACATATTTTTGAAATCGGTCTCCACGCTTAAGGTGAGATAACCCTGATTACATCACCAGTTATTTTCTTAGGCTCAACAAAGCTCTTCCAGAGTGACAGAAGACAACATGCAACTATTTACACAGGCTAACCACTGTTAACCATTACCAGTACAACTGACCTTTATATGTAAATATACCCGTTTCAGCTTCCATTTCCAAGCGTGTAGGAGGAACTACGGTGGCCGCAAAACTCGAAAAGAAGGCAAAATGCCCTATCTACAGTCAGTGTTTGGTTTGACCGTTCTGGGCTACTGTAGAAACACGGAGGTTCAACAAGATGGACTGCAGAGAAGAGCAACTGCTCCCTTTGTAGATAAACTAGATCTTCCTAAATGTTGCATACTGGACTTTAACATATATACGCACAAAATGTGGAAGAATGGTGTTATATGGATGATTTAATAGCGATTGAAATACATTTTACATGAAGGACACCATTAGAGGAGGAATAATGAGCTTCAGGAGTGTACATTGTAATGGTGATCTGACTGACACACCCTTTTAATAAACAGTTGTCTTTAAAAGGATAAAGGACTAGCATTGGTCTGATTGGTTAAATTCCCTGTTCAGGTATAATGAACAATGGTTAAACACCTTAGATCGCCAATAAAACAACTGAATATAAAGTGCAACGGTGTTCAAATCATGAAATTTAGTGAGAAAGTTAGCTTGTCACTACAGCTGGGAGGATAGCTAAAATACATGTAGGGGCATAAATGAGTACATGTGAGCGGTATATTACAGTTTGTACAAGTTTTCGCAATTGATAGGTATGCTTTAACGTCTTCATATTCAAAGTGGGAGAGTTTTAGAAACAAATGTCCTCGTGTCCTCGCACACTCAGTGTCTCACAATGCTCAAGCCCCAATCTTTGTCTTTAAGGAAGGAGATAACACTCAATACATGTACAGTACATACATTGTGTCAAACTATTGACAGCAGCACTCTCAGTTTACAAGAGCAAAATGAAAATGAACATCACCAAAAACATTTGATTGGAGTTACACAGAATTGTATACTGTTGTAAGTGTCTAAAGTTGTCAACTAAAATAGCATAACAATAGAAATAAATTAAGAACTACTACTAACAGGGATATATCACAGAATCCCTAAGTATGTTAAAGAATGATTCAGCCCCATCCAGTAGTAAAGATTACTTAAATGAATAGTAGAAGTAGAAAAAAAAACAGCTATGCCATGTACAAAAAGATCTACAGTACATACATCATGTGATCTAAATCAAATATTGATTGTAAACTGCTACTGCTAAAACAAACCAAATGCACCAGTAATAACCCATGCAGTCTTTGTCTGTCCACTGTTGATTTACATTTCAATTCTGTTGATCCAGCTCTGAAAAATTCTCAGCTTTAATTGCATTAACATCATCTAAAAGTATTGTAGCATACAGGCGGATCGTGGGAATGCAGTTTCCTACATTACCCATTCTGGGTGGCTGCATCATATTCATTGTAGTGGCTAATATTCAATATAAAAATCTGTATCATTTCAGTTTTTACAACTGCATCTTCTGTTTTGGATCCATATCATGAGGCCACTTTCCACTGTATGTGTCATCTATGATCAGGCCAGAGCACTCGAGTGCTAAAAAGGTTAAAAAGCAGACTGTAAGGGGCCACAGTGAGCAGGTTTACAATGCAGCCAAAGGCACCATCAGTAGAACTACTTCACCCACATCGTTCTACCTGAAATGACCTCATGTAAAGACTTAGATTTAAGGTCATCCTTTCAGCTGACAATAACCTAAAAGAAGAGCTGTCAGGGGGGATGTGACTGGCTCTGGCTTAGATGTGAAGATAATGGCATAATGTCATATCCAAATACAATACGCATGTTTCAGCATAAATGTAAAACACCATGGATTAATATTACCAAAAAAAAAATACATTTGTTTCCTATGGAGGTTTACATGAAGAGAAATATGGATGCCATCATTACAATAGATGGTACTGAAGCATGAGGCTGAAGATGGAATCTGTGGGAAGTTTAGGAGACCACGCAGCCGGTGTCCTTCTGAGGCTTCAAATCGGGCTCCTTCACTGGTTTCACTTCCTCCTCCTTGGGTTTGGCCTTTAGAGTTAAAGCAACAATAACACAGATATGAAACAACACAGCCACAGACACAGATGTAAACAAGATGTCATTATTATCCACCCAGCCTTTGTTGGAATAATCTCTGAAGCAAGCTGCAGTACCTTGTCATTTTTGGCTCCCTTGGTCAGGTCAAAGGTTGCGTAGACTTCAGCGGAGCACTGCTCGCTGAGAGGCGGCAGCTCGAAGATGATTGGCTCAGCCAGGCCGTAACTTGCCTTCAACTCCAGCTGTGGCGCCTCAGCTGGGATCTTGTGGAAGTATCTGAGGAAATGTGTCCACAGTTGCAATTTAAAAGGAGTAGATGTTTGAGTTTGATAATGTTGGTCTGCCACTGATATACAGGACATCATTATGCAGTCTCAAGTCCCAAGTCCAGAGTCCTAAACAAGTCATTATGTGCTCTTCACTGATTGTATGGACATTTTTCTAATAGAGTATTCATGTATTAAAGCGGCCATATTATGCTCTTTTTCTACAAGAAAATGTTTACATGCTTTAATGTTCAAAATAAATTGGGGGGTTGGTTCTCTCCTGCAACTTGATTGGATGCTTCTGGATTGGTTCAAACAAAGTGGATCTGGGGAATTAGGTGTTGGATTTTTAGGAAATTAAATTTGTGAAGTGAAGTCACAAGTCATTGGTGTCAAAGTCTAAGTTATCTAACTTTTTTGATTTTGTCAAGTCGAGTCTAATATCAAATGTGTGACTCGAGTTCAAGTCATGTGACTCCTCATTTGCTGCACAAAAGGTGTTACAACTGGGAAAGACGGGGTATGTATAGGCAACTAAAAGGTGTGCCCAAATTGACTTTTATAGAATATTTTGTCCACATTGAACAAGGGATGGGCCTGAAACTGCTGTGCACATTTAATTTACTATACCAGGCGGTGGAGTGCAAACCTTTCAGTTGCCTATGTGTATCAGTTTCGTAGTTCTATCACTTGTGTACCACACTGAAACAAAACTGAATGAGATATTTTGTATATTTTGAGTAAACATCTAATGCAAAACATGTTGCATTGTTTCTAAGAGGGAAGTGACTATTAATACAACCAGTTGCTGTTAGTGTAAACACAGGTGGCCAGCATTGAAAAACAGCTAACAGCTAGTGTTGCTCACACAATACACACAAGTTCATATTATGTTTGCTAGTTAAATCATTAATTCCCATAAAAAGAAACTCACCAAGTATATTTTTTAGTGTTGAGATGGAAAAGATAAAAGGTTAAAAATGCTAGCAGCTGTCTTTAGCCACAGGGTTGCGGTTTGCCTTCAGTGTGACTGAATGAATATGACGCTGTGAATTTTCTTGCACATCTAAACACGTTTAATTAACGCTTCCACTAAAATATGACTTCCCTTTGTCAGAGAAATAGATCTAAATATAGATGTTTCCACCCAAGAACAACATGTGTGTGGTATATCTGCGGCTCCACACGTGCCTTTGTGTGAGTCCGCCCCAACCCACTCACATGAAGCCATTTTCTCTCTGGCACTTCTCCAGTGTGTTTTTGATGACGCCGCCCAGTTTGAGGAAGAACAGCTGCTCCGATGGTTTGGCTGTGGTGCCCGGGCCTTTGGTCTGACGGTACTCTTTACACAGTGCCTCGGCACGGGAGTAACCTAAGCAGAGAAAGCCTTCGTGTTGATACAGGCAAAATCCAGGCAGTAAAAGCCAGCGAAGCGAGGACAAAATATGTGACTCTTCATTTCAGGATGTGAATTCTGCACAACTAGTGCAGCAACACACAGGAAACACCTGCATCATAACCTCTATACTTTAATGCTTCAACTACATGTGACTGAACCCTAGTATACCCAAGTAACTACTTTCAACTTTAACCTTTGTGCTTGCTGCTCTTTTTTAGTTTGCAGAATACAATTTGAAACTTTTACATAATGCTCTCAGAGACAAGACACAGTGAGAGGCTGCAGGGAACTTGAGGAACAGATACATATGGCTTAAACACAAGTACAAATACATTAATACACTATGTGGTTAGAAAAATGTTTTTAGCTGCAAGAAACAAAAATGTTTAGTCCAAGCCATAGATATACGTACACTTTTCTGCCTCCTGGAGAGATCTTATAGCCTCACCACACTTGTCGCTCGCCAGCAGTGTCTGTCCATGATAGCAGTACGCCTGCAAGCACAATTCATGAGTATAAGTCTAAGTTGAGCGTGGTTTGTCATCAACTTTCATCTGTCTTTGTCAAGATTACAATGTTTCATTCAAACCACGTATGCTCAGCAAGGTTCCTTTACATAGATAAAAGTACTGTGAACTGCATTAGGATATGTGTGAACTCACATAAGCCATGTAAAAGTGCTGCTTCAGCTGAAGATACTTCCTCCACTTGCTACTGCACTCTGGCTCCAAGGTGTTCAGTGTGTGGTCTGCAGACAGAAATACTTATTATTACTTATTACAACATACACAAATAGTCTGCTTGGAGCAATAATGTGTGTCAAAAAAAAGTATAATTTCCTTATAAAGTCATCTCCTCCTTCTACCTCATTAAAACTTCCAGAATCTCTGAATATACAGATGTTGTTCATTTCTAAAGTTTTCCTGCTGGACACAAGATGTCTCCGTCTTCACTGTAAAGTCCATTCTCAGTGGATGTGCACTGGGGGATTCAGGTTTCTACATTACACTGTACAAGTTGCATACTGGACCAGGACTGACCTTATAACTATTTGTGATGTCACAAATCCTGCTGGTATGCCCCACCCCTTAAAGTCAGCTGTTCAATGAGCACAGAGAAACTTTCCACTTTCAGCAGGTGAATGTAAAAACATCCTTCTAGAGTCAAACTCTGCACAGACAGCATTCAGACAGCACACTGTAGCAACAAGAACAACTGATTTTTGAGTAGAGGGGGACTTTAAGGTCCCAAGTCCTAGATGAGTGCAACCTGACTCCAGAGAAAACTTATTTCAACGTCATAGTCGATCAGGCTCTCACTGCTCTCTGTGCCTTTTTTACACACCATTACAGGAGTTTGACAACGTGTTTGAATCATCATCAAATCAGAGATATCGATCTGTAAAGGAACTGGAACTGACTGGGCGACATGCCAAGGATGTCTGAATCTAAGGACATAAACGCCCGGGACTCCCTGTTACGACAGCTGAGGATACTCTGAGATATAACTCAGATGTCTGAAAGAGCTGCCATACTTATTTTCTTTGGCTTCAGGTGCCGTTTAAAAGTTTTGAATAATTTCGCAAGTTAAATGTAGTGCAATTAAAGTTGTATACGGCTGTTTTACATGGGTGTAATGCTATGCTAGTACTGTACAGTGTAAAAAAAACACATACAAATATACTCTAATAGCACATCTTTGTAATGTTTTGTCATCATGTAAAGCACTTGTATGCAGCCCAAATAAAATGCATTTCTATGAAATTGTGTTCCACAACTAAACTAGAACAGCCACAGAATGTGCTGCTGTGCTTCAAAACCCTCCCTCTGATAATATGCAGTATTTTACACAAAACTAGCATTAAATGAAAATAATAATAAATGCCCAATATAATGAGCACTGTTATATTTAAACAGACTCAAGTGCCAAAATACTGACCAGCTTTCTGATAGAAGTTTGCGGTCTCAAATGCCAGCGCTGCGATGAGAGTGGCATTGTGCTTCAGTTCAATCGCTCTGGCAATTGTCACTGTAACAAAGACAAACAGATGTTAGGTGTGGACCCCAATTTACTTTAAAAGCTAAATCCTGATTGATACATCCTATATCACACAAGATGTCCTTATCCAATTTAAGAATTACTTAACACAACCAGTAATATTCAGGTTCTGATATGTTGAAAGGGAAAAAAACTTTATTGCCCCTTAAGAGGACATCCTGTCTTTTGATCTGCTCATATTGACCCACATAGGCTTTAACCCATAAGAACCCAGACCCATTTCTCCTTGAAGGAAGATTATGGGAGATAATACCACAGACCAAGGCGAACTCATAGAACATATTTCTGATGTTGTTTTTTAAATGTCAAATATTTGTTTTGTGACATAAGTCACAATGGGGGTTTATGGTAAATAAATATTTTATTAATAACTTAATTAATAATTTGACATTATTTTTTGTTTATATTTCTTCAAATATACTTCAAATTGAACAACAGGGCATATATTAATTCTAAATAATTGAGACAGTGAAATTAATTTTTTTAAATTTCTTCACTTCCTGTCACAGTCACATGACTGTCATATGACCACCACATCAGGATGTTTTGTATATGTCACTTAAAGACTTAATGAGGTAAGGTCAAGCATAAAGCTGTATATGGAAGATTCAAGGACATTTAAAGTGTTTGTGACACACGTGTCACCATGGGTTCTTATGGGTGAACAAAAATGTAACAATACACGACAACAGACTTTATATTAGAGAGACGTCACTGCTATGATGTCACAGTACTAGGCTCAGCTTTATCATTCCCACTCATGAGGGTTACATTGCAAGTAAAAAAAAACAATACACATCTGTAGCCAAGCAATGTGCAGCTACAACACTGTTGTTAAAACTTCAACAGAAAGACAGAAAAATAGTAAATGTAGGTGTAATAACAGAAATGTGTCTGACACACAATGAGCATGCCAAATGTGTGCTAGTTATGGATCAAAATAATACACGTTTATAGAGTTTGATAGTTTCCAGTCCAGTGTTCAAGCCTGGAGCTACTCTACCTTCTTGCGCCTCTGCTTGGCACTGGATGATATATGCATCCATCACTCTGGGTTCTAGGTCTCGGCCCTTTTCGGCTGGGGTGATGAGACGAGGGATGTGGACTTCCTGTTGCAAACATGCCAGAGAATTTGTCGCTTTAAAAGAATTTTTTTCATTTATTATTTATCTATGCATTTCTTAATGCATTGTTAAAGCGTTATACATTTCACATCAGAGGTTTTTAAAGTGTGACATTGTGGCCCCCAGCCCATATATACTGCCCTCCCTTCAGTGTTGCCATGGAGTCAGTTTATTAGCTGTAGGCTTGAGACTTGTTTTGTTCAACGGCTATATTTGTTTACATTTTGGCAAATTGACACCGTTAAAATGATGCCAAATTAGTTTTTAGCGGTTTCAGTTTGCAGTGTACACACACAGACAACCACCACTGGATTACTTTGATACTAAAGAAAACCTAAAGATGTGATGATTCTCAGGCAAGTTATGGTAAGTTATTAGAAGTGTATTTTGTATGAAGAATCAAGAGGATTTTTGGACAACTACATCAGAGGAAAATGCTCAGAATGTGTACGTCACACGTTTTTGCAAAATGACATGTTGTCTCACCAGGGGAGATAAATAAAATGTACTTTATTTGGTCTTAACTGTGAGGAATTCTCTGGAATTTCCGACCACAGAAATACTACAAGTCAGTAAATACTAAGAGTAAGACTGGGGGTGTGTTGAGATCACACAGCTCTATAATAACTATAATAAGAGAAAAAGACTGGACTGTAGATGTGTCTCACCTTGAGGTTTTTGAATATACCAGCAGCTACTTTCAGGCTCCGGTGAACATCTTTCGCTTCAGCCTCCGTTATGCTGTTGAACAGGTAAACGCAGTGGACAGTAACAAATATTTAGTATAGTAACAAAGCAATGTACAATTTAAAAAATCTAGATTCATCAATATATGACTGATTTCACATAAATAAATACAACAGACCAAAAAAAGCACATACTTTTCTTTTCCTGCTAGTCTCGAGGCAAACTTGGTGTACCAGAGGGCTACATTGAAGGCCATGGAGACCAGTTCAAAGACTGCATCCTGCTGGGCACTGACAGGAGAGCATGGAGAGAGTGGGTTATACAGACTGGTATTACATGTACTAGATAATGATGATGTTAAGTGGTAATCCTTGTGTTCCAGGGATTGCCACTCACGTCATGAGTAAGAATAATAACATAGACTTCTTTTCTGTGCATTTTAGTAGTTGTTTTTTTTTTAGTGATCATATATGCTCAGAATTCCTCATCAAGTACTCTTTAAAAAGGTCTAGTGCGTAGCATTTAGGACGCTTCTATTAAAGCACACCGTAAATCAAATATGAACAAAACCATTTTTCAAAGACGCGGCTAATGGAAAGCACTTTAAATTGTTTACTTTGGCCCTTCTTAAAACTTCAACCCACCCACTTACCAGTGCCATGCAACTATGAAAACTAAATAAAAAGCTTTCACTTACGATAAGACTCAACGTATTGACTCTGTGGTTTTACCTTGGTGTGTTTCCTTGTAAGGTGTCGGTCCACTTGAAGTTCTGGATGAACCTCATCTTGTTCTCCTGTGTAGTTCCATCCAAGGATGAGATAAAGCCTATTGTACCATAAACAGATGTTTAAGAAAGGGAAGCAGCTGGTTAGATGCAAAGCGACATGAAAAAAATGCAATGTTAGCAGGCAAACAAGAAGAAACACAATTAACAATAATAGACAACACAATTGCCTCAATCACTGTGTTGTTAGGCAACTATATGCCGAAACCATAATTGCATTGGCCATTGAGTGTACACGTGAAGTACAAGAATAATAAACTAACTTTTAACTCTTTAGAGTTAAGAGACCCACTTTAATTTAAGCTCAAGTATGTTAAAGGTTGGAAAATGACCCCACTCTGTCTGACAGTATCATGTGCAGCATATTCTCCATCTGCTTCACTGAATTATTCTGTCATTCTTTGTAATAATCTGTAACTTCTGTACCATCAAAATCGTTAAACTCAATGCTATTTCATTTCTGTCAGCACATACGGTGGAATACATTTACATTTACCTGTATATAGGCTCTTATTATATTTCTATTTTCTTTTTTACTTATATGTGTATATCTATACATACATTTCTATATATTGTGTTAGATATTGTAAGTATTATTTCTATTCTTTAAAATTGTGTGAGTAGAACAACTGTAAAAAAAACAAAAAAGCATTTCTGATTCGGATTGTTCCAACTCTTTATAGACACAATGTGACGGTTACACTGACTGAACTCTTAAAACTGAAGGCTGCATCATTTCATCAAATAGAAATAGAAATTCAGCCACTCCCATTGGGTATCTTGGGAAACTTTGGGATCTATTGGTTTGACAGCCTGTGTTTGTACTAGCTGACCCATCGATGGACAACTATGCATTTTAGCGGGCTAACAAGACAGAGCGAAGAACAGATAAGTTAAATGTACATATTTGCTGCAGTATAAACACACCTTGTAGGAGGGAGAAGTATGCATCGGTGGCATTTTTCATGATCTCAGGGTTGCAGGTGACATCGGTGAACATCTCCAGCAGCCTTGCCCTGGTTGTCCTCAGGTCACTGAACGTGTCAAACAAATAGCAATCAACGGATGCTCTCAATCTATGCTGAATCTTACAGTATTCAGAGTGATTCAACCAGGCACTGTCATACTGTAAGATAATGGGTGACTCATCAAATTACAGTAACAGTAGCATGCCACAGGACACGACATCCTCATGAGAGACAGAGAAAAGAGACAAAAACAAAGTACTATTTCTGTCCGTGATTGTGGTCACAGTCACAGTACAATCTGATAACACTGTTCTCAGTCTATTAGGAGGAGATAAGACATACTTGCATATCTTATTGGCGGCGGGGCTCCCTGCTACTCCATAAAAATTAAAGGACACAGGCGCTGTTGCCTTCAGTGGGTTTCTGTGAAACCAATGAGCCATCCTGTGAAAGAGGACACACCTAGAGAGGTTAGTCAATGAACGAGGTACATTGCTGGTGTCAACACATTGTAGCTACAGTGGAATGGTTGACTTCCCAAACAGCTGCTCTTTCACTCCGTGAGGTCCGTGAAGTAGGCAGCATTAGCTAGCTTATGTGTCGGTTAGCTAACGTCATACGGTCGCTACAACTCGCTAGCTGCCGTGATAGCGCTCTCACAGGGCCCTTCATGAGTTACACTGCTCAAGACTTGACACCCAGCCTGTGGCATTCACTCTGGGCTGCTGTCAGTTGTGTTTTTAAGAAGTATCTGTCTGCCTGTTGTTGACAAATGTCCATTACGTAAGCCACGGAGAGCAACAGCTAACGGCTAACACTGGCTACATCCAGAAACGTATTCCCTGATGAACTGAAGCGATGTGACGACTGACTTATTAAACAGCCAAATGAATGGACTGAACTCGTTTTAATACAGTGTGGATTGTAATGTTTACCTGTCGTTCCGGCGCCGTAGATATGAGGTTTGGTTTAGTCCTTATGGAAAGTCTGATACTGACAACAACTTACTTCCGGAAATAAACACGGAGTAGAAGCTGACCAATGAAAGCACGCGGTTCAGTCACATGACGTGTGTCCGGAAAATACTTCAGATCTCAGATCAGCTTCTCTTTTGTTGAGGGCTCAGTAGCTCAAAGGACCATTAACATGCCAACATATGTCTATTTGTAACATCTGTCAGATCAGTCTCTGATATTCTGTCTAACTAGTTGTCTTCATAATACTTTGACTGTTCCAGCAATTTCCGCATTCTTTTATTGCATGTTCCAACTCATTTGTTATTACTTATGAGAAACGACAGTGTTCCCAGATTCACTTTAGTATAATTTATTGTGACTTTTAAAATAATTTCTTTAAAGATTCAAATTGTATTGCTTGCTTGTAGACATATTTTTTGTGTGTTTGGTTATCCTGTGTAATGACCCAACACCTCCAGGTTGCTATTCGAATCAACATACCCACTGAAAGTGTCTCAATATGAATCAAATTATACAATCATTTACAGGAAACATCACTCATAATATTTGAGTTACATATCAAATGTTTTTATCCATGATGAGACAAGCAATGCAAATTCAGCCTTTTATTTGTTCCCCATTTGGCAAACATTGAGTAAACAGTGAACATCTATTTCAAGTGATTATCAGAAAGAAACAAGCAAAAAAAAAAAAAAAGTTGGTCTTATTCTCAGCAACTGTACATTTCACCAACTGAGGAATCATCAAACATCCCGTACATGTGAGTGACATGTCATTGTCACAAATCATCTTTGTGTATAAGGCCCCCTTTGCCACGGCCCTTAAGAACTGATTGTACTTTTCAACATAAAATAGAAGATCATCGATTTCATTATCACATTCTTTTTGTATTTCTTGAGCAGTAATCTCCATAAGGCACGCTCAGGTGCACCAACATGAGGTTGAACCACTCTTCTGGAGCTGTTGTCACCTCTTACGAGTGCGGCAATCTTTTTACCTGACTGTACGGTGAAGATTTGTGTGAAATTAACATTCACATTCCATTTTCCCTCAAAAATCTCATGAATACAGACACTACAAAAATATCTATCAGGAGAACTACAAGTCCCCAGCACTGACACATGCATAGAAGTATTCTGTTATCAGTGCTCCTTCAAAAATCTCTTTTAAACAACTTTAGGCACAAAGTAAGGAAGGCACTTATGGTCAGCTTTAAGGCTGATAATGTGTTCATGTGGTCATTGTTTTACATTGTAAAAAGGCAGCTTCGGCTATGGTAGGATCTTTTTTTTAAAGTGTCACTAGCTATCGAATGCTGTTCTCATTTGGACATTATATCCCAAAATAAATTCTAACATACAAGGTGCAAATATAGAAATGCAGAATCACAGATGAGCCTGATGTTTGCAGAACAAAACATCTCAGAACAAGAGTCCAAAAGGTCACATTTCACCAATCAGAAAGCAAATATACAATCACAACCAAAAGGGGAAAAAATCAATATCAAGCCAGCTCTCACTGTAACCAGGGGAGTAGGAGACTGATTGAAGTGGTGTCAGTTGACCTCACCTAAAAACTGAAAAAATAAAGACCCCTGGTTATAGCAGACAGAAAGTGAAGGTTACATTCAGTAACACGGATACCATTATGTTCATGATATCATTTTGACATTAACAGTTACTGTATAAACCTCAACCTTCCCAAATATTTCAGATTGTCATACACATTTTCAATAAACCTATATGTCTGTACATTACACGTGCCTTTTTGTTGTTGCACTTGAAACTGTACCATTAAAACATTTTTTAAAACATAGCAACAAGATGGTTCATGAAAGTATGACATGAATTCACCACAAACCAACACACTGAACCTTTTAATTAACATCCTGTGCTGTTCTCAGCTAAGGAAATATATTTGCAAGTGAAATAATGCAGATAAGTGTGTGTGTGTGTGTGTATGTGTGTGTGTGTGTGTGTGTGTGTGAATATGCACACTGATATGGTTTACTCTTGTTTCCCATCCCTGTGCAATAAATCTAATCTAATGTTTTGGCCTGTAAGACACCCAGAGATAAACAAACCTGGTCACATGAAATTGAACAGCGTGACTGAGCCAGCATGATTATACATATCACAAATATTAACAAGAGTCTTTGGCAACTTTGCAGCTTTGGTGAATGAAAATAAAAGATTTAAGAAAGAAGTCCAAGTCTCGCTGTGTGCATGCAACATGCGTGGACTTGATTTGGTCCTACTTCTTGGAAGACCTCGCAGGAAGACCCTCAAAGAGAAAACCCAACACACCGCAACCTCTGAAACCCTGAAAAGTTGTGTATGAATGGCACATCTGCAAAATACTAATGAACATTTTACCCACATTACTTAGAGAAAAGTTATAGTTCAAAGACGTTTGGCGTAGTTATTGCACAGAATATGGTCTCGAACGTCTCCCCATCCTCCGTTCTTCATGTGCGCCTTGTGCTCCACTGCCTCTGCACCACTAAGAACAAGAGATGGCGGAAAGAGGCCCTCCTTGGCCGCTTGAAGGCCCTCCTCGACCTTCTGTGAGGCCCATTCGGGCCTGCAGTTTTCCTTCTGGTGAAGGCCACAGTCTCCTGTGTGGAGAACCCTGGAGCCCTGTGCCACGAGCACTTTGAGGGGCTTTGATATGCAGGCTCCCGAGAGGTGCTGCAGGGTCCAGTCCCAGTTGTAGTCGTCGTAGGTGCAGAACTCGTTGTTGCAGCCCATCAGTTTGTAATACACCTCCCTGGAGATGGCCATGCCTATGTTGTGTTTAGTGGACATCCACCCAGTGGTCAACACCTTATTGGTCAGTGTGTTAAAATCAGTCAGGCCATTGTGGTTACCCAATGCCAGCATGTCACAGTCTGGGCAGCTGCTCTTTTTGAACTCAATCATTAATTTATAGAAATGGAAGAAGTCAGGTAAGATGTAGTTGTCCTCCTCCAGAAAGAGTACAAAGCCACTGTAGCCCTGCATCGCCTGCACTCGCTCCCACACAAAGTGCAGCTTCCACCACCAGTGGTGTTTGGTTTGAGTGATGAAGGCCTCCCTGTAGTGTCCATAGGAGTCCGGGTGTTCTGCGTTGAGGCATCCTGTTTTGAGAGCGTCGGCCTTGGATATGTCTCGAGGGCAGTCTCGTGGATCCTGCCCAGGAAACTCTCCTGGATACAGCTGAGTGCTGAAAGGGAAATAAATCTGCAGTACTTTGCAGAAAGTTATCCCTTGCACAATGGCGTTTATTTCCTCTGAAAAATAGTCATGGCTAAAGATGAGGAGGAAGCTGTGGACCTCAGCAGCTTTCTCCAGTGACTTGATGAGCAGCCTGAGGTACTCAGGCCTGTTGTGGACCTGCACAACCAGCACCAGCTGAGGCTCCCCTGGAAACCTATCTGCATTTTGAACACACTGCTTGTAATTGGCACTGTAAACTGACTGAGTCAATAGTAGGAGGGAACCGAAGTTAAACTTCACCGTGTCCCCAGAAGGCATGCCATGATTTCCCTGAGGAACATTATCAATTCCACTGGTGTCATTGTCGGAAACTAATAGCACACGTGTTGAAAACAGGAGAGTCACAACTACGAAGGAAACACCCAGCAGCGCGAGCAGATTCTTTTTGTGCAACCGAAACCTCATTTTCTATTTTCAAAATAAAAACTTTAGGAGTCCAACTGCAGTGCCTTTCTTCACCTTATCGCGCGCGTCCTCATTGTAAGACCCGTTTGTTTCCTCGTGCCGTGAAAGTCTCCTTTTCCTAACAGTCCAACGTCGCGTGACTCCTCTTCAAACTAATGTCAAACGTGTCTTGATGGCTGCTTCTCCTCTCGCAGGACTGTCTTTCCACTTGAAACCCGTGTCACTTGCCAAACAGTCGCTCGTTTTCTGCCACCTGTGGAAAAAGTAGAACAAAGCGAACCGCGTGAGTGAGCATTATGTACAAGCTATGTGTTTATTTGGCGTTAGAGAAAAGCTAACTCATCGCGGTTAGCTTAATTACACTTACCCCAAACTAGGTAGAAAGTGTCACACGCTAACACCAGGAAGAGGATGATGGCTCTGTGATGATACAACTTATTGACTGCTGACGTGTACAATCCAGCCAACGGGGGAGAGACTGAGCTCGAGCTCAACGAATCATTGTCCTACATACAGTTGTGTAATATGAGACGGAAATGTAAATGAGGCTGCATTTGAATAGTGGACAGGAGGGAAATGGTTTGTATAAAGTAATTACGTTTACTGCAGTAACATCGGAACAACTCTTATTAATGTAAGTAATTAGTGACTGTGTAGTTACCTTTTAGGTCTCCTCTGACTTTACAATAGGGGGTTTCAGTTCCAGCCCAAAGCTGCACAGTTGCTTATAAAATGTACATAAAAGGATGGTTGTTTTTTTAAAGGAAGTATTCTGGACTGAACGGGAACATGCTCAGCACTCAGGGCCATAATATTCTTTCCCTTCAGGTCACCTGTTCAGGTTTGACTGGTTGAACTTGCACCCATTTTGCTGCAAGAAATCTCACCTAAACACATAACAAAAGGGTGTGGGGTGGGTGTAATACCTGAAAATACAGGACTGGGGAATGTGATACCCCAGATGCGAGAGGGGGGGTTCACAACAGGAGGTAGAATGTGAGATGCTGGGACTGGTGTCATTTACTGGGACAGTATCAGGCTTAAATAGGACACTAATGTTGGAGAATACCTGTGCTATTTGATAAGCCATGTGTTATAAATGAGTGTGAGAGATGGATAAATGCAGTATACACAGTGAAATGAATGGGTGACCACAGAACCATACAGAAATCCAGTGAACGAACAACCTGACAGATCAGAGTTCTTTATCACATACATGGAAACTTACAATAAATGATCTGTTAATTGTTTAGCAGCATTGCCTACAGTAACCCACTACCGCAGATAATAAAATAGTAAAGATTACAGTCCTTGGCGTATGACCTATATACTAAATTTGTGTTTTTTGTATAATTTAAATCTTATGATTTTGTATTTGGTTAATAATAATAAAAAACTCAACAATGAGAAAACTAGTATTTGTGTATTTATATTTTCTCCCGGAGATATTAATTTGCCTTAATTATTGGTCAATAACAATAATTTCAGATTAGTAGAAGTTGACAGTTTTGTTCTAGCTTATCATGACTAATGGTTTTTTCTACTCTCCTGCAATTTCCTCATGATTGCCCTGGGTGTATAATAGAAATAACTCATTTGGTATTAATTATAGGCAAAACACAAGACAATCTTTTCAGATTTACTTGACATCAGTTTGTGTTGAGTTCATGAGCAGCTGCTGACTTTTAAAAGAATTTCTCTGGAAGAACTTCTGATATAACGGACGGCTGAAAAAGCTGACAGATATCCAATTTGTACGCTCTCTGGGCGGCAGATTTTAATTTTTGTGTGTTCAGTTATCCTGCTGTGTAATGACCTAAAACCTCAAGGTTTCTATCACAATTAACTGAAAACGTACCCACTGAAAACTGTCTGAATATGAGTCAAGTTATACAATAATTTACAGGAAACCGCCCTAATAATTTACAGTTGCATATCAACTGTATAACTGTAATTTTTTTAATCCATGATGAGACAAGCAATGCAATTTCAGCCTTTTATTTTTTTCCCCCATTTGGCAAACATTGAGTAAACAGTGAACATCTATTTCAAGTGATTATCAGAAAGAAACAAGCAAAAAAACAGTTGGTCTTATTCTCAGCAACTGTACATCTCACCAACTGAGGAATCATCAAACATCCCGTACATGTGAGTGACATGTCATTGTCACAAATCATCTTTGTGTATAAGGCCCCCTTTGCCACGGCCCTTAAGAACTGATTGTACTTTTCAACATAAAATAGAAGATCATCGATTTCATTATCACATTCTTTTTGTATTTCTTGAGCAGTAATCTCCATAAGGCACGCTCAGGTGCACCAACATGAGGTTGAACCACTCTTCTGGAGCTGTTGTCACCTCTTACGAGTGCGGCAATCCTTTTACCTGACTGTACGGTGAAGATTTGTGTGAAATTAACATTCACATTCCATTTTCCCTCAAAAATCTCATGAATACAGACACTACAAAAATATCTATCAGGAGAACTACAAGTCCCCAGCACTGACACATGCATAGAAGTATTCTGTTATCAGTGCTCCTTCAAAAATCTCTTTTAAACAACTTTAGGCACAAAGTAAGGAACGCACTTATGGTCAGCTTTAAGGCTGATAATGTGTTCATGCGGTCATTACTTTACACTGTAAAAAGGCAGCTTCAACTATAGTTTGACTATTTAATAATAAGTGTCACTAGCTATTAAAAATAATGCCAGAAGAAACACATCTGTCTTTCCTTCTTATAAAATCTCAGTACAATTTATTCTAAACGAAATCTCTCAGAACAATACTCCAAAAAGGTCGCATTTCACCAATCAGAAAGCAAATACACAATCACAACTAAAAGAAAATGCCGTATCAGGCCAGCTCTCATTGTTGCAACCAGGGATCAATCCAGCAGGGAGTAGGAGACTGATTGAAGTGGTGTCAGTTGACCTCACCTCAAAAACTGAAAAAATAAAGACCCCTGGTTATAGCAGACAGAAGCTGAAGGTTACATTCAGTAACACGTATGCCATTATGTACATGATATCATTTTGACATTAAAGATCAACTTCAAAGAAACAGTTACTGTATAAACCTCAACCTTCCCAAATATTTCGGATTGTCATACACATTTTCAATAAACCTATGCAACAACAAAAAAGGCACGTGTAATGTACAGACAGTACATTACACGTGCCTTTTTTGTTGTTGCACTTGAAACTGTACCATTAAATTTTTTTTTAAAACATAGCAACAAGATGGTTCATGAAAGTATGACATGAATTCACCACAAACCAACCCACTGAACCTTTTAATTAACATCCTGTGCTGTTCTCAGCTAAGGAAATATATTTGTAAATATATAAGTGAAAATGTGTGTGTGTGTGTGTGTGTGTGTGTGTGTGTGTGTGTGTGTGTGTGTGTGTGTGAATATGCACACTGATATGGTTTACTCTTGTTTCCCATCCCTGTGCAATAAATCTAATCTAATGTTTTGGCCTGTAAGACACCCAGAGATAAACAAACCTGGTCACATGAAATTGAACAGCGTGACTGAGCCAGCATGATTATACATATCACAAATATTAACAAGAGTCTTTGGCAACTTTGCAGCTTTGGTGAATGAAAATAAAAGATTTAAGAAAGAAGTCCAAGTCTCGCTGTGTGCATGCAACATGCGTGGACTTGATTTGGTCCTACTTCTTGGAAGACCTCGCAGGAAGACCCTCAAAGAGAAAACCCAACACACCGCAACCTCTGAAACCCTGAAAAGTTGTGTATGAATGGCACATCTGCAGAATACCAATGAACATTTTACCCACATTACTTAGAGAAAAGTTATAGTTCAAAGACGTTTGCCGTAGTTAATGCACAGAATATGGTCTCGAACGTCTCCCCATCCTCCGTTCTTCATGTGCGCCTTGTGCTCCACTGCCTCTGCACCACTAAGAACAAGAGATGGCGGAAAGAGGCCCTCCTTGGCCGCTTGAAGGCCCTCCTCGACCTTCTGTGAGGCCCATTCGGGCCTGCAGTTTTCCTTCTGGTGAAGGCCACAGTCTCCTGTGTGGAGAACCCTGGAGCCCTGTGCCGCGAGCACTTTGAGGGGCTTTGATATGCAGGTTCCCGAGAGGTACCTCAGGGTCCAGTCCCAGTTGTAGTCGTCGTAGGTGCAGAACTCGTTGTTGCAGCCCATCAGTTTGTAATACACCTCCCTGGAGATGGCCATGCCTATGTTGTGTTTAGTGGACATCCACCCAGTGGTCAACACCTTATTGGTCAGTGTGTTAAAATCAGTCAGGCCATTGTGGTTAGCCAAAGCCAGCATGTCACAGTCTGGGCAGCTGCTCTTTTTGAACTCAATCATTAATTTATAGAAATGGAAGAAGTCAGGTAAGATGTAGTTGTCCTCCTCCAGAAAGAGTACAAAGCCAGTGTAGCCCTGCATCGCCTGCACTCGCTCCCACACAAAGTGCAGCTTCCACCACCAGTGGTGTTTGGTTTGAGTGATGAAGGCCTCCCTGTAGTGTCCATAGGAGTCCGGGTGTTCTGCGTTGCGGCATCCTGTTTTGAGAGCGTCGGCCTTGGATATGTCCCGAGGGCAGTCTCGTGGATCCTGCCCAGGAAACTCTCCTGGATACAGCTGAGTGCTGAAAGGGAAATAAATCTGCAGTACTTTGCAGAAAGTTATCCCTTGCACAATGGCGTTTATTTCCTCTGAAAAATAGTCATGGCTAAAGATGAGGAGGAAGCTGTGGACCTCAGCAGCTTTCTCCAGTGACTTGATGAGCAGCCTGAGGTACTCAGGCCTGTTGTGGACCTGCACAACCAGCACCAGCTGAGGCTCCCCTGGAAACCTATCTGCATTTTGAACACACTGCTTGTAATTGGCACTGTAAATTGACTGAGTCAATAGTAGGAGGGAACCGAAGTTAAACTTCACACATGGAACATGACCAATTCCACTGGTGTCATTGTCGGAAACTAATAGCACACGTGTTGAAGACAGGAGAGTCACAACTGCGAAGGAAACACCCAGCAGCGCAAGCAGATTCTTTTTGTGTAACCGAAACCTCATTTTCTATCGCGTGACTCCTCGTAAAACAAATGTCAAACTTGTCTTGATGGCTGCTTCTCCTCTCGCAGGACTGTCTTTCCACTTGAAACCCGTGTCACTTGCCAAACAGTCACTTGTTTTCTGCCACCTGTGGAAAAAGTAGAACAAAGCGAACCGCGTGAGTGAGCATTATGTACAAGCTATGTGTTCATTTAAGCTAACTTGGCACAGTTAGCTTCATTAGACTTACCCCAAACCAGGGATAACACCAGAAAGGGGATGATGGGTCTATTATGATACAACTTATTGAGTGCTGACATGTACAATCCAGCCAGCGGATCATTGTCCTACCTTACTGCTCTTCAAAGTGAAACTGAGGTAACTAAATCTACAAAATCTGTTTTATCTTGTGACAAATTGTCAGTCAAACACAGACAAAAGTCAGTCTTGATGAAATTCGCTGTAGAAATCGCAGTAACCAAGACAAACTGCATTAAGTGTAGGGACTGCGCTCTGCCTTTGTTAATAAATCCTGTATTTCAGCCAGTTTCAGGACAATCCAAGGTTCTCATCTGGGAACTCATACTTGTATTATTCGCTAAGTCGCTTATAAAAGATAGTATTAATAGTTTGTCACTGTGCTAGCACTAGCTAGCCAGCTTGTTAGACGGGACAAGGAGTGCACTGGCATTAGTTTAAAGGGAGCAACAACCATAATCAAGAGTACACTATCTGCATTTTTCGGGGTCATAGGTCATAGAATTGGTCATGATTTTTAAACAATGAAAATTACTAAAAGAATACATATTCTATATCTCTATAGGCACATAGCTGCTGTTCTATATATAATGCATTTGGCTGGATAGTCAAAGTTTTCTCAGTTTCATTGTGAGCGTGGGTTTCTGAGTAGGGCAGCATGCTGTGTTTTAATTAATTTAATTTCTACAAAGTCATCTCAATATAAAAAACAAAAAAAAAGATCATCACTCATCTTGTTTTGTTAGTTTTTTTTTTATCTTTTAGTTATCATGTGACAGTTCCTGTTAATCTGTGTGGGTGTGATTAATGTTTCTGAGGGAGAGAGTTCAAGGCATGGCGCTTCTTTGTCTACAGGCGTCTGTGCAAATCCCAGGGTGCCAAAAAAAATATATAATATATATAAAAAGCATCTGCAATCAGCCTACCAAAGCACAGAGGCAGAGGTGGAAAATAGTTCAATACATTTACAGTATTTCAAGGGGATTTGCTTTGTCCATGTAGAAACATGGCAGTTTGACATTTTAGGAGGAATACATTCCTCTATTGGTATGGTAATTGATCAGCAGAATTCCCTTTTCACCAAGTTCTTCCTACAGTAGGGGTGGTTCTAGATAAATATTCATTGGGTGTCCAGAGGGTAGCATGGACACTAGGGTTGGCAGAAATATATGCTGATTTAATTGCAAACAATCAGTATTTGCTTGGAAAAGCCCACAAAGCCTTTTGAAATAGAGAACATTATATTATTGTGGCACATAATAATAAAGGATTGAATAGAAATATCTAATGGTAGCATTAGAAATAAATACATTGTTTTATTTCCAAATCTGTGGCAATGACAGCTCATTAAACTGATTTTGGTTATGTTCTGTATGTATGTTTTTAACACATCAACTCGAAAAACAATCTAAATAAACGTCTTATATTTGACAAGATTTGACCCCAAACATTTTAGTAGTGGCAGTTGCCACCTCAGGCCAGCCCTCTAGATCCACCCCTGTCCTGCAGATGTTGCAGAAGTAGCCTGCATCTGCAACAGTCCATGTAATCACAACCACTCAAAAATGTGCAATTGCCTGCTGCTTACAGCTTTTGGATAGCCTCGTGCTAAATGGTAGTCTATGAAACTAAAGGGGAGGATTAAAATATGGACTGTACGGTGGTTAAACAGAGGACTGGAGTCATGATAATCAGTAATAATAATGTTATAAGGAGTAGCTAAAGTCTAGACCTGCTCTATTCGAAAAGCATCCTGAGATAACTTCTATTAGGAATTGGCGCTATACAAATTAAATTGAGTTGAATTGAATTGATAAACACTGTTGAGAGACCTATTTTCTGCAAGACTCTTCGACTTAGATAAAAGGAAGCATTATTATGCTCCTTACATCTTATTAAAGCAGGAAACTGTGTTGATCCAGAAGCTAGTTTGTCAGGATAGACCATGTAATGCTCAGGCAGATAAATACCTTTAACAGATAGAGTGAGCATGAGTCAGACACTCAAAATGTCATTTTGTATTGTAAACACTAGATGGTAGCAGTCAACCACAGATCACTGGATGAGGCTTCTAGTTTTTGGGACATCTTGTGATGCCCTGTATAACAGTAAACTACTACATACACCCAACATAGTGGCTCATCAGTGTCTATATTATTGTAATTTTGAATTATTGATTGATTATATCTAATGTGATGTGAGTTGTACATGCATTAACTGTAACTTGGGGAATGGTATATGAACAGGGTTTATCCATTGTTGTCACATTTGGGCACTTTTAAAGGTCCGGTGTGTAACAGACCTAGTTAGACCTTTTTAGATAGTAAAAATGTAATATAATATTCATTTCATTAATGTATAATCATCTGAATATGGGAACTGTCATGTTTGTACAGTTGTCCCGAAGAGAGAAACCAAACTCTGGCACTGGATAGGGCTGTTTGTGTTTTTTTATGCATGTTTCGTGGCCTAGTCTCTACTTGGGGAGGGTGAAGCGAGGGAGTTGAAATCTGCAACTACACCGCTAGATGCCACTAAATCCTACACACAGGACCGAGGGTTCCTGGGTGTGTGTAGTACGTCCACCACCACAACAGCTTTCTACAATCTAAACTCTGGATCGGAGTTTCATCCGACAGGCTCTTTACAAATATTACTCTTCGTGAGTTGTAATTGGCTGCATTTCAAGAGACCGCTGCGTTCGGCTGAGAGCAGACATTGTGCACAAACTTAAATTTTAAAAATAAATATGAGAGGCAAAAGCAATAGCAATGATTATACAACATAAATATATTTTTCATCTGCAGGCCTTCCATCTGCATACGGCATGTTTGAAAAGTACACTATGTCCTCATCCTCTAAATAAAAAAAAAATGTGGAACTAATCAATACATGGCATCAGCGCTCTTCCTCTCTGATGGAGCCAGGGAGCGAGCAAGCCATTTGTCATGCCTTAGTCTTACACCCTTATGGGATACAGAACAGTTCAATTATACAAATATTAAGCTTCATTCCTGTAAAGGAAAGTTATCTACTCTTATTTTCTGCTTTGGTCTGCTGTGTATTTGTTGCAGCACAGTCCCCTCACAGGCGTCTGCCTTGCATTTGTCCAGGCACAGTAAACACACTGGGTTCCTGATATCTCCCCTAAAAAATAAAAAAAAATGTGTGTTTTTATTCAATTGGATTCATATAGCTAACTCTCTCATGGTTGGATTACAGATTCAGGGGTCATTAAAAACCTTTCATGTAAAATATTACTGATTAATGTCATCAAGTCACTGAAAAGGCAGTTTTTTGATTGCAGTGTGGCACTACTGGCTGTAGGGTTGGCTGTGGATTATTTAATTATAGATCCTGTTGGTGATCGTCTTCACAACCTGAAAACATAGGTTACTCAGATTTGAAAGTGCTAAAGAAATGAATTGAATGGGTATTCCAACAATTTATTATTGTACTTCTTAAACTTTGTGAGGGATGTCTCCTCTTTTTGACTGGGGTGGCCCAATAGAGCCACTGACCTGTGCAGGGGTGGCATTAGGTTAAATGCCCAAAATCTTTCAAACTCAACAACCCCAGTTTGTAGCACAGGCTTTTGTTAAAATAATAAATGAAAAAAACCCTGATAGCATCATCTGGGTTTTTTTTTTTTTTAGCATGAAAGTTTGGATAGAAATACTTGAGACCCATAAAGGAAGCAGCTGAAAGGGTTCTCTTTAGACACACTGTTGTATTTCAGCATATAAAGTGTTAGAGGATTTGTTTCAAACCTTTGGCTAAATGTATACTGCTGCTGTTTGCAAACATGTTGACCAGTGCAAACAGCATTCCACTGCAGGGAGGTCCCCACATCTCAATGAACAAATGTTACAGGTCGCCCCAGAATGCTAAGTAATCATCAAACTACAACCTTTTTCTACACCTGGCCAGCAGTTTAAGAGTTACTGTATTCTTCAGGTCTTTACATTGTTAAAGACACATCCTCCCTCTGTAATTGTTGCAATAAACACTCAGTTAGTGGGTTTTGGAGAAAAGCCCAAAAGAACAAGAGAACAATTATTCTGATGCACAAGCTTCCTCCTGCCGCAGAAGAAATATTACTAACGAGCTTACACAGAAAATAAACTTGAGACCGAAGACTGAAGAAACAACAGGATATGAGCGTGGAAATCATTGTGGATTATATAATCTTGCTGCTCTCTGTGAGCACATCAAATCAAAACACACTCTCTCACTCACCACATGTGGAACCAACTGTTTTCTTTTACTCTTCCATGAACTCATAACTTAATTACTGCATGTAATGTAATACATGTGAATAACATAATGAAAAGCTATCAACACCCTTACTTGTTGAGTTTGATAGAACTGTGTGTGTTTACATTACATATTATGTAATAAGTGATTACATTTTGCACAGGTAATCACACACTTATTAGGATTTATATACTTTATATATATCTTGACGCATTACAACAATAAAATACATGTTAAATTGTTTGTAGATACATTCCTGGGGCAGACAATTGTTAACAGACAAACACAACAATGATTTATAAAATTAAAGACATTATAATGCTATCAACTGACTGCTGGGAAGCCAGTGAGGGATCTATTCCGGTTTAATGCACTAGTAGGGCCTCTAACAGTTTTTTTGCGGGATGCACTTTACAATTGCTACTGCTGCAACCTGAATCATGGCAAAGCATTTACACATACCTGTCCACCCTTGCAGTGTCACGCTTTCAACTCATTCTCATTCTATGGTCAATTTAGCAAAAATAAATATGCAACGTTCGATTACACTGTCAAAATAAAGCAACAAAACTACTTGGTAAGGTTTAGGAAAAAATCCTAAGATACATTAAATACCTGAAGCAAGTTGACTTA